GGGTGACGTGCTTATGTTGGTCATATCCCGCCGTAGTGCTTCATCGTCCATTTTGTTGCGTTGGAATCACATAACCATTCGTTGAGGAGTCTTTCTACCTCTTATTGGATTTACCTTTGTTGGGGTAGTGGAGCTCTTAGCTGCCCCTGGTCTTAACCTGCTGGTCTGGACTGCTCTTCTATGTTCTCGACTCATCTACGCAGCGGTAGCAGGGCATGTGGTCCACTCTTGACCGGCGAGAGAATTCTTTGCAGACTACCGGTTGAACTTGAGCCGAATTGAATGACTGCTTCTTTCCATCCATCGTGCTGCCTACTTCGATGTGACGTGGATGATACTCCTTGTGGGTTAACCCGTGAATGAACGATTCACCTGGAAAGCAACTCATCTTAATTATCAGAGTATGGCCCCAACCACGAGTGTATGCTCATCTGTGGGCCTAGTCAAGAGTGCATGCTCCTCTGCGCACTTAGACAAAAGTATACGCTATCTCGGGGGCCCAATCGGGAATGTATGTTGCCCGAACACTCGGCTCGTGGTTGTCAAATGGCTGTTTGCCAGAGCGCTGCTGGAGAGGCTCTTCGTCTACCCTTGTCTTAGTGTGGGACACCTCATCTAGGGCATGCTAGATCTTTGTGCGTTGTAGAAGTTGATTCACCAAGGTCGTTTGTTGTGCAAGGGTGCTCGTCAACTCTATGACTTGACGGGACAAGTGTTGTTCGCCATTTGGATTGGAAGTGCTTGGAAGGAATATGCCTCCTTGAGCAATGGAAGGGTGGTAGACTCTGAAGGAAATTTTGTGAAAAACATGTTCATTTAAGCAACATTTATAGCATGCAATTAATAAATTAAAGGCGGAATCATGCTTGCATACACTCAAAAACAAAACATTACCCATGAAATTTAAAGCCTAGTAGTTAGGTGAACCAAGACTCAACTCAAATCAAAGTAAGTTGAGAAATTTATACCTTTGTATATTCTTCTTGGCATAAGCAAGGGCTAATCACCCAAAGAGAGGGCCTTCATTCCTTGCTTCTTAGATCCATAGATTTGGATGGAAGAATATGTTTCTCCAAGTCTCCACACCAAGGTAAGATGTGAAGAAGAGATGAGTGACCTTGGAGGAGAAAGATTACTAGCTAATCCCTCCAAGGGTGGCCGGCCTCTTTAGTGAGAAATGAGAGCTTTGTGTTCTCTCCAATTTCCTCAAAAAACCCTAAATGAATTTTGGCTATAAAGTCATATTTATACCTTTATTCATTGGAGTGGCAAACTTGTAATTAAAGCAAGTTCACTACCCTTCCTCTAAATGGCCGGCCTTAGGGTATTATTGGGCTATTTGGGCCTTTTTGAATCATTATTCATTAAGTTGTCATACAACTTAAGTCAATGGACTTGACGTTCAAAGCCCATTGGGCCTTTAAGGTCCAATACTATCCCGAGGTCTTTAACGAACTTATTCGTTTGATTAATTAACATATTAATTAATCCTTACCATAAATAATTAAACCATTTAATTATTCTTACTCATCTCCGTTGTTTCTTCAATCTCTACCTTACACGGTGTACGATCCATTAGGTTCCTTTTAGCGAGGCAGTGGGCGATTAGAACTCTTTCAAATCGATTGTGAATTGAAACTTACTTTCAATTCTCCCTTTAGTGTTTTACACGTTTAGGGCTTCCACAAACCATGAGTGACACCTAGCAGTATGTCATGGTTACCCAAGCTAATCAGAAGAGGTGGAGAACCTATTGAGTTTAGGATTACAATGCAATACGGTCTTTCTCTAATACAATACTCTTGATCACATTGTTTGGTTTGATAGTTTATTCATGTCTACTATCCAATGTGATTCATTTACTTATATGATTACTTTGAATATGATTTGGAACGACTTCCTAAATCTCATTCATACTCTGGCCAGAGATTCTTAATCATATCATAGAGTATTCTCCCTTAAACGGTTTGAAGGTTAGAGATCCCTTGTTGCGCATTCACTTGCCTCCATGGCTAAGTGGTTTAACCCCAACTATGCCGTGGACACCCGCGAATGGAGTGACTTTGACATAATCAAAGATCAAGGACCTAACTACAAGACAACTATGATGCCTCAGGTCAAATGACTACTTTGCATTATCCCAACCATGAGTTCTCATGTGACATGAGTATGAGAACTCCTCGTTGATCGTGTTCAGTGGACTCATTTGTTATTGAGCACCTACATGCTTATCTTGGTGTCAATCACACCAATGACTCGAGACCAGTCACTCTCACTAAGAGAAGACATAGCACATACTGATCTTAACGGACTGTCAATGCCTAATTGGCAATCCTATGATCACGAACGTTTAGGATATGTATACGAAAGAGAATGGTCTCATAAATCTAACTTGTTTAAATTACATTCTTCTAATTACATATTCCTTGGACTTATCGTTTAAGCATATAACATTTATATGAGACGGCTTAAAACAATAATCTATGCCCGTAAAGTATCATCATGTGAAATGTCCGTAAAGTATCATCATATGATTGGTTTTAGGGCACATTTCCAACAGACTCCAGGCACGAGAATTGAGTTGGGAAATGTCAAAATCGTGGAGAAATATGGTGAAAATGCCTTTGGCTCAATGGTAGATCCGGATAGTTGAGATAGACTTAGGCCAACTTGTATGGCCCCAACCACGAGTGTATTCTCATCTGTGGGCCTAGTCGAGACTGCACGCTCCTCTGCACACTTAGACAAAAGTATACGCTATCTCGAGGGCCCAATCGGGAATGTATGTTGCCCGAACACTCGGCTCGTGGTTGGTCAAATGGCTGCTTGCCAGAGTGCTGCTGGAGAGGCTCTTCGTCTACCCTTGTCTTAGTGTGGGGACACCTCATCTAGGGCACGCTGGATCTCAGTGCGTTGTAGAAATTGATCCACCAAGGTCGTTTGTTGTGCAAGGGTGCTCGTCAACTCTATGACTTGACAGGACAAGTGTTGTTCGCCATTTGGATTGGAAGTGCTTAGAAGGAATATGCCTCATTAAGTAATGGAAGTGTGGTAGACTCCAGGAACGAGAATTGAGTTGGGAAATGTCAAATTCATGGAGAAAAATAGTGAAAATGCCTTTGGCTCAATGGTAGATCTGGATAGTTGAGATAGACTTAGGCCAACTTGAGCTGCTTGGGAAGCCACGGCAGCAGGCTGGGTTATGGAAGCAGGCTGAGTCATGGAAGCAGGCTAGGTCGTGGGAGCAGGCTTGGTCGTGAAAGCAGGCTTGGCCACAGAGTAGGCTGCTCAGTGTGTGATGCATGCGAGTGCGAGACTTAGATTGTGGCTTTGGTGTCATGGGCCTTAGATGGCACATCTTGGGCTTGGGCCTGTGCAAGCTTGGATGCCACAGCCCGGGCCGTGGTAGCGGTGCCATAAACCTCGTCGTGGGTAGTGGTGACCATGGTGGCCACTGCTCCTATGATTAGATTTAGCCTCGTGGATCACCGTGGTTCCATTTCTTGAATATTGGAATTTTCACTTGTGGAATATTCTAAATTTCTAGCCATTGTATTTCTCTTTTACGTTTTATCGAAGAATCTTTGGAAATAAAAATTCTAATAAGAAGAACGTACGAAAAATCTACAAATGGACAAGAAAATAGAAAAACCTTTTGACTAGGAGTCTTCTACCAGTGTGTGACTCTTCCCTTAATGAAAGCACCAATTTGTGGATGCAAATTTCTTCCTCCTTGGTCTTGGACAAAATTGCACCTACAAAACAATTAACACCTTTGGTTATGGCCAAAAACCTCACGTGCCCACGATGAATAAGGTGGGGGGGCTTTGGCTGAAGAATTTTTTATGCCTAAGTTAGAATTTAGAGAGAAAAGTGTATGGAAAGTTTTTTGGGAGTTTTGCAAGAGTGTTGGAACTTTGGTTTTTTAAAGAAAATAAGGTTGAATATATAGAGCATGGCCGGTCCCCTTAGGAGAGAGGGTGGCCGGCCTCTTGTCTATTTTTTTGGGTGTAATTGGTTATTTAATTGGCAATTAATTGATTAATTAGGTAATAAATCCATTAATTAGCCAATTAACATAATTTAAAATGAATGTTTTGGAGGTTATGGAATAATTAACTTGTGAGAATATAGGGTGAGGATGGATTTAATAATTTTGAATTTGTTACCTATTTTGGGCATTTTTGACTTGGTTGAGGGATGATTGCCCGCTGCTCGCATGTAGGAATCCCCGATATGCCTCAATGGTATTTTTATCCTCTTTTATCCAAAATCCACGTGTCGCCTCTCGATTATTTTTGACTCCACAACTATGATTGACTTTTCTTCTTCTATTTTGATAGGTCGGACTATTCTTACACTGTGCTAAAATTCATGCACGTAAGTAACTAGCTAGCTAGAAAGGTTATGTACAGTAATAGAAGTACTTCTTGGGACTTCTGCTTGCAATCACTAATCAAGCAAGAAGATTGATATCTTGTATCTTTATAGGAAGACTAATTTACATGAAACGGGTTCACTGTTACTTGTCGTCTTGTATTTAATAATTCATCGTCAAGTGTAAATTTTTATCTACATGGCTTGTATTATTAGATTGAGCCGCCATGTAACAGTGACTTGTTCCTTGTAAGTTGCTGAGTATTATCTAATGGATATAGTATTTCACTGGAGTCTGTTTGTATTCATCTTCAACTAAGCAAATGACTAAATTTTGCATTAGTTATATTTGATAATACAGTGGTAATTGATCCCACCAAAAATTCAAATTTTAACCCTTCTATTGAAGTCTGTTAAGATTCAAACCTAAAATTACTATTTATGTCAACTCTCCGTTAACCTATTGAGCCTTTATAATCAAAGGGAAAAAAAAATCATTCATCCAAGGCCATGAACCTTTCCTCCATACTTCGATTCCATTCAAAGATATTTTGTAAAGGGGTGGAATAGGCCAAACTAGGGTTGGTTCGGTATGGGATACCGAACCAAAAACCATGTTCTGATTCCCAAATCGAAGATTTCGGGAATCTCAATTTCAAGACCGATCCCAAACCAAATTTTCGGGAATCCCAAATTTCGGGAATCCTGAAATAGTTTCGGGATTTCGAGACAAATCAGGAATCACGAAATAGTAACTAATGTATACTGACCAATGCATAAATTGCCTTAAGATCTGCTAAACTAAAGTAACAAAATGACAAAGCTATCTAGATTACAGACTAGAAACAAAGCTATAGTTGCTGACCTTATGCCAAATCCCTCGAGCTCTTTTTCAATTAGACCCAATAACTTTATAAAACCTGAATTGGTAGCAAATGATGCAATAACTTCCAGACTAAATATTATGGAAGTCACTTACTAACAAGAAAAGCTCTTCAGCCCCATTAAAAAGAAAAATAACAGGTCGAGGAAGAACCCATCCAGAATCCACCATTAGCCTTGCTATTTCCAGCATTGATGCTGCAAAAGATTAGAAAAATAAAGAAAGTGACATGAACATGCAAGAAATGGTTAAAATCAAGTGAAAGTTTGTTTCCACACACCTACACATGAACCACAATCAGCAGCACCTGGGGAAGCAAGTGGACTGTCAAAATGTCTTTAACAAAACTGATGGTTCATTGTCTTGTGAATATATTGACGATATCCTTCCATTGAATACAACTTAATGTGAAGTGAAATTTACTAAACTGCTGCAAGATGAAAACATCAATGCCACTGTATTACTCATAACATTCTTAAAACTTTGACCAAAACAATAGATACTTATAGCGACGGCAATAAGTAGTGACAAAACTGAGACCAGCAGCATATTGACAAGAATTTTTTTTTTTTTTTTTGTCAAATATTGACAAGAAATTAAAGTAATCGAAATATGTGTATACTTTACCTCATCACAATATTTGTGTGGTTTCTGTAACCAAGAGAAACAATTTTTTATCTCAATTCTGCAAGTATAAAAATTTAGGCACCATTGCCACACGAAACTCGGATAAACAATGAATAAATAAATAAAAGAAACAATCTTTATAGTGTATTACAGACCTAACATTGGACCCAGCTCATTCCTTCATCATTTCCAACTGCCCCGTAATGTACCGAGCAGCTTCGGTCAAGCCAGGACACCCTTCCTATCAACAAATTAGGAAATTTCAAATAAGTACCTCAACCCAAAACTTGTCCCCAATCTCTCCAATAGAGATTACAATGGCGAATTCAAATCAAACCCAAAAAAAATAAGAAATTGTTTTTCTTTTCAATTTGGACAAAAATGGAGGAAAAACAGTGAGGGCATTGAAAAATGAGCTCACTTGGCGGCCGTCGATCCTATGGGCCAACACTCGAACGTCCTCGACGACTTTGGCTTCGGAGAATCGATCGAGATGGGCGTCAATGTTGAGCAAGGATGACTGGATGAGAGAGCAAGGTGAGCGGTGAAGTGAGGTGAGGTCGAGAGAGAGTGAGTGAGCGACTGGGTGAAATTGTCCAGACTCCTGGCTTTCTGCGAAACAAATCCTAATTTTAAATAATAAAAAAATAATTACAAATAGAGCTACTGCATCAACTCTTTTTGCTGCCATTTCATGTCATGTCATATAAGAATTGGCACTTCAGTTGAAAAACACTTACGTTATCTTTTATTATTGTTATTGCTTATGTGATATTTTGACATAAAGAATCTAATATCTAGCCAAAAACGACAAAAAGGCTTCGCCTTAAAGCTAAGAGGTAGAAGCAGATAAAACAATTTAGGTGGCACTTTTGTGGGTCTGACGACCATCTGCCAAAAGAAGACAAATTCAATCTTCACAAGTTATTTCAACAAATTACATATTTAGGGATGAGGATTCTCGTTGATCTTCTTGGTGAGGATTTGAAATTACATATTTAGGGATGAGGAATCGCTTTGATCTTCTTGGTGAGGATTTGAAATTACATATTTAGGGATGACGATTAACTTCGATCTTCTTTATGAGGATTTTAAGAAATAATTTATCTTAGCTATTCATTCACATCGTGTTGCCACTTTTTATTAGTCATTATGCAGCTAGAAATTATTTTGAATTTTTTATTTAAAAATGAACTCAAATGATATTTAACAAAAACTAATTGTATGGTATAAATGAACAGTACCGATGAATTGATTCATAGGATTCTTACAAAGAGAATACAAATAGAATCCTGCTGAATACCATCAACGTCAGCAGAACTTCATGAATTCCTATACGCTATTAGGACCAAAATGTAATCCCATGATAAAATCATAAGCACCAAAATGTAATCCCATTATAAAATGGTGGGACAAATTCAATCACTAGAAGATCATCCACTTAGTCCTCTCTGAATTTCCCGTCATTCAAGCTCAAGTTCAAGCCATTCCGGTGTAACCAGTTCAACAAAAAATGGCATTGCCAACAGCTCCAGAACAATCCCTATTAAACATTAGTCACTCTTCATCTCTCAAATGCACTTCTAAGTCATCTAAGTCGAGTTCGAAAAGAAGGAAAAATCATCCCAGCTCAAGGACCTTGCCCAACAATTACTTGTAGAAGCAGCCATGCTCCATACTGAAGACCCAGACTCCTCCGAATCTTTAAATGCATCCTCTCAACAACCCGCCAGCACGCAAAAAGCCAAATGGGCAGATTACCAGAATTCCCAAGATCCGTTTGAATTATATAATTCAAATATGTAATAATTTGTAATCATCTCAAATTTTTACCCATGTAAATTCTATAGTGTCAACCATGTGACCCCTTCAGAAAGACAGCATCTGCAATAGCAGCAATCATTCAGACAAGTCACTATTCATGAATAGTAAAACCACTTTTACTATTCATCCATCATTTCAGAAGAAGTTGCGTGATTCCACAATAAAAGAAAAATTATTCCTCCAGCTTTTATAGCTCATAGTAGAGACAGCCGGGATTCCTGCTTGAGCTTCAATGATTCATCCAACCATCTCCAGCCTATATCATCACAATTCAGAACCCATACTGGGGAGGCTAAAACTTCTGCGTATTCTCATACAACAGAACAAAAGACAACATTCAACACTCACCATCTCAGTTCAAATTTGTAAACACTTAAACACATTTAATTATCATGTCAAGGATGCCTGCGAGCTCCATCTCCATATTCATCCACTGTAATTGCCAGTAGGCAAATTGTAAGTCTTTAATTCAAAGTTTAATAAACTTATTTTCAAAACATATTCCTATCATTAATTTTAATTCATTATTTTCATTATGAAGAATATTTTCATAACTACTGATTTTGAATGGCATAAGTGTCTTGCTCCTATTCAGTTCATTGATATATCAAATTCAAGGTAAATATCGACCAATCATTCATTATCTTCTTCTTGTCTATTTATAATATTTGGTATGATATATGCACTCCCAATGATCATCATGACTGTAGTCTTGATTGTTGTTCTCATAATTTCTACCATCATCAGTAGATAGTTGCTCTGCACCCATTTGGTATCAGAGTCAAATGAGTGGTAATTGCATTAGCATCTTCTTAATCTGCAAGTCAGGTTCATTTTCAATCTTCCAATTTACAGTCTATCTTATATGTTAATCTTCTACGTATGTTTGTTCAACTCCCCAACCAAACAGTAAGGCGTGTTCCAATAAGTCCTAGGAAAGGCATGAGCGGGGAAGGACTTTAGCTAATTCGCGAGGAAGGTGACATATTTAAGTTTTCTGTATTTTGTTTGCCTATATTGTGAACTTCATGAATAGATTATTTAGATCTAATTCAATGGCCAGCACTAGCTCTAGATCCAGTCTAGGCACAATTCCATATATTGTTAATGAAGAACAAAAACTTGATTTTCAAATTGATGAAAGTATTAACTTTGGAGATTGGAATATCCCCAAGGTTTCAAGTAAAAATATTTACAAAAAGAAATGGTCAGTAGCCTCATTTAGAAGTGAACATCATGTTAAGATAGTTGAAAAAGCTTATGCTCTTAGTAAAGAACATGAAACTTGTCAATTGGTTTCTTCTGAACAAATCAAAACACACTGAAAAGATGGTCATAACTATATCCACATAGGCTTAGTCCAGATAACCGTAAAACCTTTAACACATAGAGGCCTTAATACTTCTATTTTGTTATGTCTCCGATATGCTAGATTCACTAACTTCAGTGATAGTCTACTTGGAATGATTGAATCCAGTCTTTACAATGGACCTATCCATTTTGATTATTTTCCATACCTTACCATAAGTCTTTCAGATCCTCATATGCTGAAAGCACTCACATTAAACATCAAAACTTCAGGATACCAAGTCCTTGAAGGAACATAGCCCTTGGCACTAATATATAGGGTTTACTACAAAGTCACTGGCACATATATGAATTTCCAGGCCTTAACCAAAAGTCCTAGAGATCACACACTCTTAATCTAAACCAACCAAGAAAATGCGAACATTAAAGGTCCCAGAACCATTAGGTGGTCAGATATCAGTCTACCTTCATATTGGTGTTTGATTAATGAAAGTCGGCCAGTAGCCATCCAAAACAGTTTAGTCAACCTAGACGATATAGAACAATATTTTGATGGGACTGTCAAAATTAATTTTGATCGTCCAGCTAGAAGATCTTGTGAGTCTATCCACTAACATAAATCATTTGCTCCTAGCAGAAATTCTTTTTCTAGATCCATACCAAATGATAGGATGAGTCAAGATCAAGAGTTGATAAATTCATTAGCCAATAGGAAATTAAAAACAGTAGACACTAGATCATCTGTTACCCAACAAGAATTAATCAATTATTTGATCAATATCAAATTAAAATCAGTAGAAACAACCTTTCAGGTTGCACATCCAAGGTACCAGCCTCAAACCCAAGATCAAGGAGAACAAACTTCTCTTACTGAATCTGATTTTGACGCAGGATAGATTCACCATCAACTTTTAGTTTTAAAAAAACCTTTCAAATGTAATAAGAAAAGGTTCAATGCTAATATTGAAGCCACAAAAAATATTTCCAGAAGGAATAGTTTCAGAAATAAATATACCAAAGAACAAAAATTGGAAATTTACAAAGAATAGACTAATTTTATGGAAACCCACAGATTTGAAGTATTTTTCTTCGATTATGTTGAAAAATACTATAAGTCTACAAATAAATTAGAAGTAATAACCAAAGAAAATTGGCTTAAAGAAGACAAGATTATTGTCTCTTCTAGCCATCCTCCACAAGAAACAATTCTCATCATAACTGCTAATACACAAATTCCAACTACTCCTTTTAAAATCCCAAAAGAGGATACAGGAGTTAAACTAGTTATAGAACAAAATAATTTCACAAATCGAGTCTTCATACAATCGGAAAACAATTAGATAAAATAGAAACAAAAATAGATAAATTTTCTCAACCAAAACCAACACACAAGGAAAAACCATTAATTAACTTCCCAGAATCTTCTTCTTGCATGATCGCTTTAAAGACAATGTCTACAAGTAAAAAAAAAGAACAAATGTTACAACAACTAAAACAAGAAAAACCAATCAATGTTTTACAAAATCAAGAAGAGTCTCAGGTAGAAACAAATTCTACAATATGGGATTCTGAGAACGAAATTGACACAGATTCTGTAAGAAAAGTGGAACAAGCTTTTCAAAACCTTGAACTTAAGAGGATTACCAACAAATGTATTAATCCAACATCTCTAAAAAAAAATGGTATCCCAGACCTACTCCTCCTGATATTTAGTTTGAAAAAAGAAATATCCAAAATCAATTTTTCGTCTCTTCTGATAAACTCTATGAATGGAATATAGATGGTTTATCAGAACAAGAACTCTTAAATAAAATCCAATATATTTCTATGGTTGCTAATAGCTATATCACCAGTCATAATCTTAGCCAAACACAAGTTATTGACCTTTTGGTCACTGGATTTACTGAAATGCTTCATTCCTTGTGGGAGAAACATCTTACTGAACAATTCAGAAATGAAATAAAACATGCAGTTAAAAGAGATGAAGATGGAATACCCATCTTCGATGAACAAATAGGACAAGACGTCCCTAACGCAGTTAACACATTGCTCTTCACAATCATAGAACATTTTATAGAAACACCTAGTATTGTCACCACTAGGATCCATGATCAACTCAGTAATTTAAGATGTTCTACACTAAGCGACTTTAGATGGTACACAGATGTATTCATGTCTAGAGTCATGCTTCGAAAAGATAGTAATCAACCATTTTGGAAAGAAAAATTTATTAATGGATTACCAAACCTCTTTGCTCATAAAATTCGAAATTTCTTAGTTGATGAAGAAGGTGTCATACCATATCATACCCTTACTTATGGAAATATAATTAATATTATCCAGAAGGAAGACTTGAAAATGTGTATAGATATGAAAATTTCAAAACAAGTTAACAAGGATAAATCCATCGCTAACTATAAATTATGAACGTTCTGTGAACAATATGGACTACCTTCTATTGCTCCTTCTAACAAAAAGAAAAGATCACAAGTCTATCATAAGTACTCCAATAAGTACCCATGTAGGCAATACCCTAAATATAATAAATACAAATCTAAAAATAAAAACTTTGAAACTATAAAGTTTTACGAAAAACCCAAGACTGATAAGCCAAAGAGAAAATCTTCAGGGAAATTTTCCCCTCAAGACCAAAAAGGAAAATGCTACAAATGTGGCAAATTTGGTCATTATGCAAACAAATGTCGTGTTAAGAAAACTATCAACCAATTGAAGATCTTTGAGGAAGAGAAACTTCAGTTAATCCAAGTCTTAGAACTTAGGAACACAGATCATAGTCAATCAGAATATGATTTGGAATTATCCTCTTCTGATAACAATTCCTCTAGTAATCTTTCGTCACCCGATATTAAAATAGGTTGTATTGATACTTGTTGCAATAACAAGATTTCAGTACTCAACAAACAAAAAGAACAAGAAAATCTTCTTATTGAATTAATTAGCAAGGTCGATGACCCATAATTAAAATCCTTTTACCTTCAGAAACTAAAGAAATTAGTTTCTCCCGAAGAACCCGGCACTAGCCAATCCCAACAAATTCCAAAAATCTCTATGAGCACAACCTTGGAAAGGTTCAATAAGTCTAAGAAAGAAATCACAGTTAAAGATCTCTAAAGAGAAATTAATAAAATCAAAGACGAAATTAATTTTTTAAAATCTGAAAATTTAGAAATCCGTACTAACCTTAGTAAGATCCAAACTCAAACACTCATCAAAGAAGAAGAATGCAGTAGTTCTTCTTCTTATCACTATTCAAATGCTCAATCAAGCAAACACTCAACACAAGACCTAGTCTTAGTTCTCTTAAACAAGATAAGAATTCAGAAATGGTATTCTAAAATTAAAATAATAATTGAAGATTTTCATTTAGAAACAATTGCTTTGATTGATTCCAATGTAGACTTGAATTGTATTCAAGAATGATTGATTCCTACTAAGTATTTTCATAAGTCAACAGAGATACTTAGTGTTACTAACCAATCACCAATGCAATTAAAATACGAAATACCTAAAGCACATGTTTGTCAAAGTAATATCTGTCTTAAAACCCCATTTGTTTTTATTAAAAACATTTCAGATCCAGTCATATTAGGTCTCCCTTTCATAGCACTTATATATCCTTTTAAGGTTCATTACAATCGAATTACCATTAGAGTCTTATGACAGGAAGTCACATTTGAGTTTTGCTTGGAAACAGACCTCAAAAAATTAAGACACTTACAAACAAATAATGTATAAAAAACCATTAGTATAATTACTAATAAGTCACAACACATTAATTTCCTAAAAGAAGAAATTCATCATAAACGAATTAAAGAACAGCTAACAAATAAGTCTTTGTTAGAAACTATTGACAATTTTCAAAAGAAACTTGTTAATGATATCTGTTCTGATATTCCCAACGCCTTTTGGCACTACAAGTAACATATTGTTAAATTTCCTTACATAAAGGAGTTTAATGAATCAAAAATTCCAACCAAAGCCATACCTATCCAAATGAGTCAAGAAGTCATGGAATTCTACAAAACAGATATCCAATAACTTCTTAATAAAGAAATTATTAGAAAGAGGAAATCACCATGGTCATGCCCTGCATTTTATGTTCAGAAAAACACAGAATTGGAAAGAGTGACTTCTAGATTAGTTATTAACCATAAACCTTTGAATGAAGTTTTGGAATGGATTCAATATCCAATTCCCAACAAAAGAGATTTGATAAAAAGGCTTTCTCAAGCAGTTATTTTTTCAAAATTTGATATGAAATTAGGTTTTTGGCAAATTCAAATACATGAATCTGATAAATACAAAATATCTTTTGTAACACCTTTCGGTCATTATAAATGGAATATAATGTCTTTCAGCCTTAAAAATGCTCCCAGCGAATTTCAAAATATCATGAATGAGATTTCTAATCAATATAACCATTTTTCAATTGTTTACATTGATGATGTCCTTATTTATTCAAAATCAATAGATGAACATTGGAAACATTTACATATTTTTGTTAGAATAATCAAGTCTAATGGATTAGTTGTTCTGCATCAAAGATTAAGTTATTCCAGACTAAGATTAGGTTCTTAGGATACAATATTTATCGGTCTACCATTCAACCTATTGATAGAGTTATTCAATTTGTCGATAAATTCCCGGATCAGATTACTGACAAAACCCAGTTACAAAGATTCCTTGGATCATTAAACTATGTTTCAGAATTCTATCTTCGTCTCAGACAACAATGTAAACCTTTATTTGATCGTCTTAAAGATAATTCCCCATCATGATCTCCCATTCATACTTCCATTGTTAAACAGATCAAATCACATGTTAAGACATTGCCCTGTCTTGGCATTCCAACTCCCAACTCATTTTAAATAGTTGAAACCGATGCATCTGATATTGGTTACAAAGGTATCCTCAAACAGTCAATTTCTTCCGGATCTCCTGAACAAATTGTTCGTTTCCATTCAGGAGTATGAAATCCATCACAGAGTAATTATAGTACTATTAAGAAAGATATATTATCTATTATATTATGCATTAGCAAATTTCAAGATGATTTATTAAATCAAAATTTTTTAGTCCGTGTCGATTGCAAATCTGCAAAACATGCTTTACAAAAAGATGATCAAAACATTGAATCCAAACAGATTTTTGCATGGTGGCAAGCCATATTAAGCATTTTCGATTTTAACATTGAGTACATTAAAGACAGCCACAATAGCATTCCTGATTTCCTAACAAGAGAATTTTTGCAGGGGAAGAATTTCGGGACAAAAGCCTAATCAAAGAAGGCTTCCAATCACTTTACCACCACCAAAATAGGAATCTATTCCCGATTCCTCTTCGGCCTTAGCCATAACCAACCGATTCACTCCTTTAGGATCCACAGTAGGTAGTTTTCGACCAAATTACCAAACACCAAGACCAAATTACCAAACGGCATTAGTCAGTCAGTATGATCTTTATTCATCCCACTATCCATCTTCATCCAACCCATCAATTAGTTATACTAAAACATCTTCATATGTCAATAAATCATCCAAGGAATACCTTTTCAGCATACCTCCCAATATTTCCCAGGAACAAACACCAGCCAAAATAGCCAAAACGGTATTCCCAGCCAATTTCCATAATCTACCAAATGCATCACATAAAACCCTTAAATATTATCAAGCCATCCTCAATGAGATTGAATCCATTGCTATTAAGCCAATTTTCAATACAACTCATGCCAACAAAATTCTTTACCATTCCCTTCACATTGGAAAATTCCTAATAGAAACATAATGGGAATTCCCCCTTTAACAATCCAAACCCCTTCATTCTCAGCATGTCCTTATTTCCAATAACAAATACAATTATTTTGATTATATCGACCCTTGGTCTAACATTTTCCTGCATCAAACATAAGATTTTAGTCATTCATGGTTTGTTACTTTTGATAAAAGTTTCATATTGAATTTCCTAGCATGGTTTTCTAGATTTTAGTCATTCATGGTTTGTTACTTTTGATAAAAGTTTCAGATTGAATTTCCTAGCATGGTTTCCCAGATGGTGGTCTTCTCATTCACGTTTTATAGGAAAATTTCCAAAAGAAATTTGACAAAAGCAGATTCAACCATTATCACCCTTCTTCCATTGTTCATGGCCAAATACAAAATCCCGTGGATTATGAAGTTGAAATTGATGAAGTCTATATATATATATGTATTGTAGCCTAATCTAAGTGCTTATGATTTTATCATGGGATTACATTTTGGGTTTTTTTTTTTTTTTGTTTTTTTTTTGTATGTGGAGATTAGGCTACAATATTATGATGCAATGCTAAACCATTATTTGGTCAAAACAGTAACAGAATGACTTGGGCTTTGTGATTAATTATTACTAACCGAAAATTAAGCTAAAGCTCTTAAAATTAGCAAAACACCAAATTACTAGTTTGTACAAACATTTCCTCCCACTTCTCAATTTTTCTGGCTTTTTCTAAAAGCAATTTACAATAATTAACAAGAAAAACTTATCCGCATAAAATTACTTCTTTTTTCTGGTTCCCCTTTTGGCCTCTTTGATTTGAGTACGATTAACCAACAGCAATATTCACTTGACCCCTGCTCCAATTTTCCCGCCAAAAAAGCATGCGGGAAAAGATCAAGGCCGTTAAAGCCCACCTCCTTTGCCTTGATCCGACGACTTGCGTGACATCTCAACTGACATTTTTTTCGTTCGAGGAATCGCTCACTGACCGAGATATCCGGTTGGTGTCCGAATCTTAAACCAAAATAAATAAAGACGAAAAATTATAATTAAATTAAAATTGGAGAAAATTATTATAAATAATATGAAATAATTGATAAATAAAAGAATGGAAATTAAAATTAAAATTACCACGGGAGGCATTGAAGGAACGCTTGCAATGCAGGATGGCACTTTGGATTCCGTCCTGCTGCTGAAGCAGCGAATCATCTCTCCTCTGCGCGACTAAGGCGGCCGATGGGGCCGCGGCTACGGCGGAGGAAGCGGACCGGCTCTTCCCCAATTGCTTGCAGACCACTCTCAGCCCTGCCGGAAAGTTCCCCTGCTTCTGACCACTCTTCGCATTGCTCGCCGTCGCCGGCGGCGGCTCTGAAACTTCACTTTCCGACTGGGGCTTCTCGGCCTGATTCGAAGCCAGCGCCGTCGAGCCGTTCAAGTTGAGCTGCCCGGACAATCTCAGCTTCTCACCATACCTCTTTGAAACGCGAACGTAGAGAGGCTTCACCATTTTCAAGTACTTTTGCATTACCTCTTTGGGAAAGCGCTTTTCCTCAGAAGCCGATTCTTCAGAAGCGGTTATCGGCGGCGGCTTCCGCTGGGTCGTATGCGACTTATTAGTTGCAGAGATTCTGGAGTTGTTGTCTCTGGCAAACAAAGACACAATGGGAACCTCCTGAACCTTGAATTTCACCGTGAAAAGCTTCCCCTGCTGCTTCTGCTTTTGCGACGGTTCCTCTTGCGGTGGTTTTTCCTGGGGTTTTTGCGGTGGTTCTTTCGCCACCGCCGCAACAGATCCAGCCGCCGGCAGCTCCGTTTTCCCTGGTTTTTCCGACCCGTTTGAATTCGACTTCGATTTCTTCAAACCCAGCATGAAAACACGAAATTTGGTGGCCGATTTCAATAATGAGACGGCGAATTGGGGCTTGGAGTTAGATTCTTCAGATGGGTTGAACTCAATCGACGAGTGCTCGATAGGCACAAGCTTCCCTTTGAAGAACAAGTCGTCGGAGGGAGAGAGAGTCAGATTCGGGTCGACCGTTCTGTCCTGGGTCGACCCGGAAGGGACGGTGAAGTTAAACTCCCCCTCTCCATCCTCACTGTCATCAGACTCCTCGTCGTCGTCGTCGTCGCCGCCGCCGCTGTCGTCTTCTTGCCGGACATCCTCGTTGCAGTCATCCTCTTGCCGAGCTTCCTCGTCGTGGTTTTGAGCAGCCGCTTCGTCTTCGTCGGGGACGGCGAACTCTAAGTCGAAGAAAGGCCGGTCGTCGTTGTCGCTGTCACTGTCTTCGTCGTCGTTTTGGGCAACGGCGGTGAGGATTGTGGTGGTGGTGGTGGTGGTGGTGTGCATGTTAGCAGAACCAACCGTGTCTATGCTGTTAGGAACGGGGGTGGCAGCAAGTAGGCCACCGCTGCGCCAGTACTTGAGGAAGCTGAAAGTTTCCATGGTTGGGAGAGCCAGTATAAGGCAGAAGAAGTGGGTATACTGAGTTAAAAGAGAGAGGAAAGAGGCAGGGTTTGCTTAGATGAATGGGTTTGCAGAGGGAGAAGCACCAGTACCACTACTGAAAATGTAAAGAGACTGGGGTAGAGAGAGAGAGAGAGAGAGAGAGGTAAAAGTGGAGGGTTTGCTTAGATGAATGGGTTTGCAGAGGGAGAAGCACCAGTACCACTACTGAAAATGTAAGAGACTGGGGTAGAGAGAGAGAGAGAGAGAGAGAGAGAGAGGTAAAAGTGGAGAGAGAGGGGTAGGTTTAAATTTGTTTGGAGTGAATACGGGCCGGGGGTTGCATTCCGGGCAGCAGAGTAATGTGAGGGGAACAGTTCCCGATAATAAATCAAACATCAACTTTTCAATTTTTTAATTTCTTTAATTTTATCTACAAAGTTAATCATTCTAACATTATCCAATGGACAGAGACATAATTAATAGGGAGATTCTAGCATTATCCTATTTGTCTACTCTCCATCTACTACTAATCTTTCGCATTGCAATTTTTCTTGTATGGAGGAGATGGAGGAGGTACGTGTCGATGTTTCGTTGATTTTTCAATAGTTAGACTTTTCGTATAAAAATTTAATTGATATTTCACCATTCGACCTTGCATAATATTCACCCTACTGAGTAGTATGTACCTAAAAATGTTATTAACGCCTGTGATTAATCATAAAATCAACAAATTAAGTGAGTTATTGCAGCGACAAGCACCCACGTGCACTGTGGGTACGTAGCCTATATGTGTAAGCAGTGACTGTACTTAGCATTTTTCTAATAAAATTGAACAAAAATAAGTTATCTATCCACGACATTATATTGCGTTTTTTCATCTTTGTCTCTTTACATTACAACCTGTGAAGATAGTATGCTCGTGTCTATATAACTATAACTAATTAGTGCTCATTTCAACTGTGAAATTACCATTCCTGATGTGTGAAAATAATAAATTGCTCCACCATTTCATACAACATCTAATGAAACTTACCAAAACATAACTAATGCTTAATGCTGGCAATTATTTTTCACATTTATAATATTCTTTTTTTCCAATATTTTGATAATGCTGGTTGTGGTAGAACCCATATTGCACATGACATGATTAATTACTGATTTCTGAATTTTGGGTCAGATATATCCGTGGCAAAAAGTGAAGTGACACTAAAGGAAAATCAATTATTAGGAGCAGTCAATTAGGAGCAAATTAAAAGATGGGAACTTTAACGAAAAACATCTGGTACTGTTCACTTTAACGAAAAATCACATTTTTACACTAAAAAGTCAATCTTTGTACTATTCACTTTACCCTTTATTTTGTCTTTATCATTAAAACTCAAAATTTTCAAGCCATTTTCATTAGTTTTCCTTTAAAAGAATTGCATCTATTAATGAGTTTTTAAAAGAATCGCATCTATTGATATGGCCAAGCAAAAGGCAATGCTGCTTCCAATTTCAAGTTCATATAAATTTCTGTGGACACGGCCAATTGCTGCCAGAAGAACAAAAGGGCCTTCATTGGTCGTTTCGTGTCAATAATTTACAGACATTTGTAAAATGTAAGATTCTAAAAAACGTTAGGCGTTAGTTGGGTGACGGATTGGGGTTTAGCGCCTAGGCGCCTAGGCGGGATCCAGGCAGCCGCATATGCGGACTAGGCAGATTTAAGTAAATATATTATATTTGTGGATTTAAGTAAATCTATTATATTTCGTGTAAATAAATATATGTTTATACTTAAAATATATATAATTTCATCATAAACTAAAATAACATATATATTATGAAGTATTGGAACATAATGAAGGTATAGGGAACAAGCATATAGTGTGTGTTCATTTAACTATTCAGCAAATCTCTTATAATTTATTGAAAAAAATAAAATACAAAATGAAAGTTATCTATTTTATATCTAAGTGATTTGCAACCTAAGCGAGTTCCTAGGCCGGTGCCTCAGCAGGCCTAGGCGTCTTTTCTTAATTATCAAAAGCCTAGGCATTAATAAGAGTGATGATCAGCTGCTTAGTGTTTAGGCGGAACCTAGACAATGTTAGACGAAGATTTTTAGAACAGTGGTAAAATGTATGAACATGTGGTCGTATATAGAACAAAACGTCACGATAGTGATAGTTTACTGTGCTGTTACTCTACAAAACTCATCACACTCTCCAAAACCCATCAAGTATTCTATATGTTACTATTACTTGACACCGATATCGTGCCCATTTTTTTAGAATACCAAAGCACAGTGGCATGGTGAAGTTTCCATAAAGGGAGGAGTAAAAACGCAAAGAATGCAAGAAAACAAACAGAACAGGCTTCAATCCCTTTGTTTACGCCTTTACCTTTGAACTTTGAGGCTACACAAAGCTCTCTGGTCGAAAGCCTGCATGGGTCTTGAAAGTGAGTCCTTTATTACCAAAAAAAATAAAATAAATAACAAATAGCAAAGTGAGACCTTTGACATTGCTTCGACAAACTAGGGTATGTTTGAAAATTCCGATAAGGTGAAATACACTTCCACACAATTAAGAGCGTTTTTAACTACATTTGGTTAAATAAACTTAAAAATGGTCTATGTTTGTAAAATACTTTTAAAAAATTAAACACTTTCAAATAGTTTTCCAAACAGTACTAAAGCATGGGAAATTAAACTTTGACATTGTTAATAAAATAATTTAAAGCTGGTTTGGGGTTGCTTAATTTTTTTTTTTTAAATAGCTTCTTAAAAAAGTTTTGCCTTTAATGTGTTTAGTAAATGAAAAAAAATGGTTTTTTTTTAAAAAAAAAATTTATGGGTTCAAAACAACAGAAAATACAAGCAGCTTTACACATGCTTCTCAAAAAACCTTTTTTTGCTTTTTTGTAAGCAGGTGAATAATACCAATTAACGAAATTTTCATATTGACAATTCTACCCCGTTCTTTTTTTCTTTGCTAAAAACACTTTTAGTACTATAGTTTACAAAATACTTATATATTTTTTATTCACTGTTGTTATTCTCACATCACAATAGAAGCAATTTAAAGAAAAAACACAACAACCTCAAACTAGCTCTTGTACGCTTATGGGAAAAATACTTGACACTCTTGAGACAAAAAACTGAAGTTATTTCACATACAAAAATATAATTAAATACTAATTATAACAATGACGGCGCTATTCACACACCTTTGTTAATTTTTAGTCATTAATCTTCTTCAATTCATTCAATCTTCTGATCGAAAATTAAGAGAAACGTGTGAGAAATAAAAATGAATGTATAAATTGCACTACACTTATAACAAACATGTTTATGAGCAAAGTTGAAGTTTGTTAGTATGACTTTTACAAGCTGTTCAATATTCTAGAATTTTTTTTTTTTTTTATGGGTCAGAACAATTTTCTAGATTAATAATTATTTCTTATTCAATCTACACAGTAGTTCTGAAATATTAGGCCGAAATGCTCTGTGTGGACAGAAAAATTATTTCCCGCACGAAGATTTGATAAATAAAGAGGCAAGATCTTGTTGCCATTGCATTAAGTCAGTCAGCAACAGGGCCACAGTTGGAAGGCTCCAGCCGAAGACAAGTAGTAAGCACAAGGCATGCTATTCAACAACACGTGGCGGACATGCAAGTAGGGGGCATGGAATTCGAACTCTATGTTGAGTGATATATAGGATTTCAATATAAAGAGAGATATTTCAGTGTGACCGAAACACGTACATTACGTATTATTATACAAATTATGAGATATGTGGGTTAAAAAGTTAATAACTTAAAAACAATAAAATAAAATTTCTCACCACTTATATAAAAACACGTGGTACCACTCGTATACCGATCACAATGAATTTTTTTTTTCCAATATAAGTAGCGATATTCACACACTCTTTTTAATTTGCAGCAATCTGATTGAATGAAATAATGAAACTCAATAATCAAAATTAATAAAGATGTTTAAGAAGTAAAATACATAGGGTGAATAACATTACACTTCCTCACCACAAAACAAGAGACTTTCTTAGATATTTCAGATATCTGAGTAATTTGAACATTTTGACCATTAGTTTTTTTTTTAATTTAAAAATATAAAAAATAAAGATTTAACAATTAAAATATCTAAGAAAGTCTTAACAAAGTCTAAATTTTTTTAAACAGAAGTCCCGATTGTTTAAACAGAAGTCCCGATTTGTTTTGTGAAGTATGTCGATGCAAATTTCCGCCGTCTTCAGTCTTAACAAAAATGCACCTGCAAAACAATCAACACCTTTGATCAGAGACCTAAGCCCCACGCGCCCACAAGGTGGGGGGGGGGATTAGGTCAATGGATCTCTGATGCCTAAGTTAGTTTCTCTGAGAAAGTAAAGTGTTTAGGGCCTTTTTAGGGTTGCCAAAACTCTCAAAATTTGGTAGAATATGGGGTATTTATAGGGATAGGGCTGGCCATAGTGTGTAATAGAGAGATATTCTCTAAATATTCCCAAGATATTAAATAGGAAATAATATCTTGAGATAATGGTGTAATTATCCTTAATTTATTTAAATTAGGATTACTTACTTGGTTGGAGTCAATCTTCAATTGGGAATGTATTACAAATAGGATTTGGGTAATTAATCCTTATCTTTAATTCCTTGTCAAGGGCAAGTGAGTTGTGGGCAGTCGTATTCAGCTGTTGAGACCTCTAGGGATGTGAGCTGTGCGTGAGAGTATTTGAGAAGCCTACACATTTATTGAGAGCAATCTTGTCTTTCTTGAATAAAAGTCCACGTGTTGCCTTTAGAATTTTTGGGATTATTTTAGGCTCCATAAATGCCCCCACACCTACTATGCTACATGCAGGAAAAGGATAGTAGGTGTAGGAATCCTAACTTGCTTAGGGTTGTAGAGTTGTTTCCCAATTTGAACTTGATCTTCTTTCTAGATAGACTTCTTCTAGGAAAAGGAAAAGGAAAATAATTGCCCCCAATACCTATTTAATTCTGCCTTAAGAAGGGAATTTGGAGAACAATCATTATTCCAACAAGGAAGAGAAGCCAAAGGAAAGTTTTATTCCCCCTCTCATACTGTTCTTCTTTTCTTGCCCTTGCAAAGAGTCGTCTCTTGTTGTAGTCCTTCTTCTTCGCCCCAAGGTAAGAAAAATTTGAATTTTATTCTTCTTGAATTTTTTGGAAGTCTTTAGACTTGAAAAATTGGCTCGACAGGGCCGTGGATATAGGTGACACGTGGCAAGGAGCCGTTGGGTTGCTTGGTGGCGCGGCACGGGTTGGCTCGGCTTTGCCGAGATACTGGCGGCTTGAAATGGGCTTGGTGCACGGTTGGCGTAGGCCAGGTGACATGATGCTAGGCTTGGGCCTGCTGGAAATTGAAGGAGAGGAGGAGAGGCCGGCATGGGCCGGGTTTC